AATCCAAATCCAGCTCCTACTGTGTGCCCAGTGTATCCCTGGGGTGGGGGTGGGGGTGGGGGGGGTCTGCCTCCAGGGAGCTGCGTTCTGGAGGAGACCCCAACCCGGAAGTGGTCCTGGCAGCGAGGACAAGAGGCAGGAGGCACGACAGGGTGACTGCCTGGCTGCTCCCCTTGAGGGTGTCTGAGTGACAAGTGGCATTCAGGATGAGCCGTGGCCGCCAGGTGACAGTGTGGAGGAAGGAGCATTCCACAGTGGAGGGGCTCCTTGTGCCAAGGCCCTGGGGCGGCAAGTTCCCGGACAGGCTGGCTGCGGGGAGCTGGGGGAGCCTGACGGGATGGAGTGGAGAGGGGGGCAGAGGCAGGCCGAGGGGCAGGGGTGCAGGTGAGGCGCAGGTCCCGTCCTCCGCGTATCTGAGCAAGGGCGGGTGGAGACCCTGGAGGGAAATCGTGAATTGAAATCAGCTTCTTGCTGAGAGGGAAGAACCCAGAGGCCTCTGCTCAGCTGGCAGTGAGGGGCCTCCTGGCTCCGAGATGGGCAGATGGGCCAGCCAGGTGGGTGTGGGCCGGCTCGGCGCGGCCAGTCGGGTCCCTGGTAACTGAACAGTGGAATACCCAAGTTCAGAGCTCTGGAGAGGCCAGGACATGCGCTCTCGGCACCCGCACCCGGGAGAGTGAGGAGGGGCTGCCGAGGAAGGGGAACGGGCCTGAGCCCCAGCCCTGGGTCCCGGCCTTGGCCGGGAGGACACGGCAGCGAGGGCAGAGCAGGGGCAGGGAACGGGGCCCCAGGAGCCTGCGAGCACGGGGTTGCCTGAGCAGGGAGACCCCCCCAGGCCGGGTGGGACGGGGAGACCTCTAAGCTGGTGGACTCTCACCCCCATGTCTGTTCACATCCTGAGGGAGTAGGGGGCAGTGCGTGGTCCAGCCGTGGCCCCGGCTGGAGGGCAGGTGGGTGGGAGGCCAAAGGCCTGGGGTAGCTGCCTCAGTGGCACTGCTAAGGAGAGGTGGGGAGCCCTGAGGTGGCCAGCTCTGCGGGGCTGCCCACATGGGAGGCTCTGCGCAGGGGAGCGGCTGAGGCTGGGG